CCCCCCCCCCCCCTCTCTCCAATTTCTCTACGGATTATCTTTTTTGAGAGAATAGTTTTTGTGGCGGTTAGGGGGCGGTCGCCCCACTCTCTTGGCTACGCCGCCACTAAGAGATGATCCTTACTGGACCTCTAGGGAGAACAGTGTAGAACTGATAGAGCTATTCAGTATAAATAAAGTTAGCTTAGGTTTTCCTCCTGTAGTAAAACTGGATCAATAAGAGATGATCCTTACTGGACCTCTGTGGAAAACAGTTTAGAACTGATAGAGGTATTCAGTATAAATAAAGTTAGTTTAGTTTAGGTTTTTCCCTGTAGTAACACTGGATCAATAAGAGATTATCCTTAATATCCTAATTAATAATTCGTGAGTAAATTATCCTCATTAATAATTCGTGAGTAAATTATCCTCATTAATGATTCGTGAGTAAATTATCCTCATTAATAATTCGTGAGTAAATTATCCTCATTAATAATTCGTGAGTAAATTAGCCAACCATATTACTTTGTTTTGCTCACATGATAATTAACAATTAGACAACGAGGCCGAGTTGTCTATGAGCGAATAGTCAACGAGGCGAAGCCGAGTTGACTATTTGCTCATAGACAACGAGGCCAAGTTGTCTAATTGTTTTAGTATAAACTTTAACATTAATTTACAACTAGGCTGCAAACACAATACAAAAATACACAAAAAAACATTATAAAACCATTAAAGGTAAACAAATATTTTAGTTTTTGTTCGCGTAAAATGTTTTACAAAATTTAGTTTTAATTTTAAAATTTCATTGAGTGTATGTTATTTTGTCTATTTTCTTACCCTTAAAAATTGCCATTCCATATTTTTGTTGCTTTTTTCGGGGGTTTTTAGTACAGAATTGTTCAACAAGTCGTCCAAAAAATCATCAGACATTTCGGCAAAAGTGCAAAACGCGAATTTTCCGCCATTTTGAATTTTCTATTAGTAGGCTATCACTAATAGCCTACTAGTAGCGTAGCCAATCAGAAGCCACGAAATGTGATAGCCTACTAGTAGGTTTATACTAATTGCGTAATAGACTAAATTTTGATCTCAACAAAAATTTCATTACAGCTTGAAAGAGCATCACAAAATTAGTAATATTCCAAAGTTTCGTTGCAAAATGTTGTAAAATGCGGAAAATATAGCCTTGCGAAATTTGCAATTTTCAGTCATTTTAGATTACAAACCGGAAATTGACAGCCCCGAAGGGTTTGGGGCTGTCAATTTCCCGTTTGTAATCTAAAATGACTGAAAATTGCAAATTTCGCAAGGCTATATTTTCCGCATTTTACAACATTTTGCAACGAAACTTTGGAATATTACTAATTTTGTGATGCTCCTTCAAGCTGTGATGAAATTTTTGTCTAGACTTGTTTAGTTCAAAATTTAGTCTATTACGCAAATGTCAATTGCGCAGACTTGAAGTCTAGTCCAGCCCTCATAGTCGGATTGAAATAGTACATCCTGGAACCTCTATCGCTAAATATGCAAATGAACTGAAGAAAAGAATTCGAAATAACATTGATTAAAGCCTGACCCTATAAAAGATTGGCGCTGATGTCTTTACAAAGAGGGTTGTTTGAACATCAGCCTTTATCAGTGGCGTAGGCAGAGTCTGGGACAGTGTGATTAAAATAAAGATTTTGAACTAAAATAGACTAAAAACCTCTTGGGAGCTTCCAGTGGCGACGCCAGGCTTCAGAATTTGGGGGGCATTTGAGGGGCAAACTCCCCCGGGGGACGAATATCCTAGGAATATCGCCCCCCCAAGAGGGGCGAATGCCCCAGGAATATCGCCCCCTGGATACTCGCCCCCCATATATGCGATGTGATTTATTCGTGATACTTTCATCTTATTAGTGCCTTAAGGCCCATACAGACCGGACGCTATTTGGCAACGCGACGCGAATTTTCTGTTTTCAATGACATTTAACTTTAATATTTTTTTATCCGTTGACGGTTTTATTTGTTTTTGAAAACTGAAAATTCGCGTTGCCGAATCGCATCCGGTCTGTGTGGGCCTTTACACGTTTGATAATTTAACTTTGCAAAACTAAAGCTTTTTGTCTTTTTTGAAACGTATTATTGGAGTATTGGCAAGTTTTACAATTTAGGGATTGACAAACTAATATTGAAACTGTAAAAGACAGTTTCAAGTATACGCGCATTCACTAATGAGTAATAACAACTTATAAGCCATACATTTTCCGATAACGACAAAACGCTTGTGTAGCCTTTAGTCGCTTTCAGTGACTAATAATTTTTTTGGAGGGGGGGCAAAATGGGGGGTATTTGCCGCCTTGCGCCGCCACTGGGAGCTTCGCCCCTCTTGCCCCATTAGCAGCTGTGCCCCTAGACCCGTGCTGCACCTTTTTCGGCGGCGCCACGCGCCCCGTCACTCGCCTCTCCCTCCCAAGCAAAATGTGAAAATCCGTCTATGATGAAAACTATTTACGAAGTTAATTCACCCTTGACAATGGACCATTCCCCATGCAAATTAACCAAGATTTTGAACTGAACAAGTTTAGACAAAAATTCCATCACAGCTTCAAAGAGCATCACAAAATTAGTAATATTCCAAAGTTTCGTTGCAAAATGTTGTAAAATGCGGATAATATAGCCTTGCGAAGTTTGCAATTTTCAGTCATTTTAGATTACAAACGGGAAATGGTTACCACTTCTGTGCGTAATACAAAATGACTGAAAATTACAAACTTCGCAAGGCTATATTATCCACATTTTATAACATTTTGCAACGAAACTTTGGGATATTACTAATTTTGTGATGCTCTTTCAAGCTGTGATGAAATTTTTGTTTAGGCTAGTTAAGATCAAAATTTTGGAAAAGTGGTAACCATTTCCCGTTTGTAATCAAAAATGACTGAAAATTGCAAATTTCGCAAGGCTATATTATCCGCATTTTACAACATTTCGCAACGAAACTTTGGAATATTAGTATATTACTAATTTTGTGATGCTTTTTCATGCTATGATGTCTATGATGGAATTTTGTCTAGACTTGTTGAGATCAAAATTTTGGTTAATTGGGGGAATGGTCCATTCTTGCTCCAGATTTTCCAAATATATATAGAGATCACTGATTAAGAAAACGCCTGATCGCAGGTTGCGCTCAGGTTGCGCTGTGTTGAACTTTGTCCTTCATATATTAGCAGTGGGTGATTATGATATAAACTCGTGATATCTCGGTGTTTTTCTGTAATTTTCATGCATTTCTCGTGGAAATTTTAGTATTTTCTTTTCAAATATGGCTTTAGAATATCTAGAAATATATTGGGAACGTTTTCTTGGCGTTGTGGAGCCGCATTTACCCGAATATTTACATTGGAACGAGATTTGCGTAAGTTTGAAAAATGCACCAATTTAATTACACTGTTGCAATTACGTTGCAATTGTTCACTGACGTTGGCTGTTTCAATACAGTTGTTTTAATATTAGGACAATTTGGAGGGCATGAGTTTTGGAAACTGTCATCAAAATTTGTTTTTGCCAAACTTTTTACAATTTTTACTTTGGAAAGCTTCTGTGGAATGATTGCCAAATTTTTATCATGTGACGTTGATGTATAAGTTGGACTGGGAATTTAAAGACAATAAAATGGCCATTTTCAGGCTGTTGAAAATTGAATGTGGTGGAAACCAAACTGGGTTACCGCCAAACTATGCTTGCGGTAACCTGGTTTTTCCAAGACAAAAGCTTGTCTGGAAAATTCACAGTTTATTGATGATGTGCATGTTGATCGTAATGTGACTCACCAGGTCACAAATATACCAACTGGACCATAGGCAGCCCAACAGCTAGGCATGTTAAATATTTGACTAAAATACTAATAAAACTGTTTAATATGGTGAAAATGTTTATAGATAACAATGCATTTCTGCAGTTCTGGTTGCGTGCTGCGAGCGACGACACGCATTGCCTACTATTAAGTTGACAGTCTATTATTCCCCAAGGTTGGCAAATAAATCAAACCAAAATTGCTATACCTTAAACTATCGAAAAATACTCAAAATATTTTAACAACTAAACGCTAAAATAATAACAAAAACTTGAGTCTACAATAGTTGTTGCATCATTTTTGCAAAATAATTGAATTCCTAAAACGAAAAAAAATACATTTTAGTCAATTTCTTCAATGTTTTTAATGTTTTGATGATAATATGCTGGATGCTTGGAACCTGCTGAAAAAGCATTCTCGTGTAACAAATACACAATCTCATTGGCTGTAAAAAACCGACGGCCAATGAGATTGTGTTTCGACATATGAAAATGCTTTTTCAGCTGGTTTCATAAGGTGCATTTCACCTTTTTTAATTGAAAAAACTAACTAGAAAAATCAATTATACATAATTCAAGATCAGTGAACTCAATGTTTTAAAAATGTTTTAAAATGTTAAAAACATATTAAGTTTGCTGATCTTGAATGATTCTTAACCGATTTTCCTAGTTAGTTTTTTCAATTAAAAGGGCTGAAATGCGCCTTAAAAACCACCACTCAAAAGACTGAAATTTGCCTTTAAACAGTTTTATTAAAAGCTTGAATATTTTTGTCAAATATTTAACACACCTAGCTATTTAATGGGCTGCCTCTGATTGGACCACAGGATAAAATATCATCGCTCAAACCAGGGCTGCAAATAAATGTTTGACTTGACAGGACATTTATCCGATCACTTTTAATTTTGGTCGGACATAACTTGAATTTGGTCGGACAAAAACCAACACCACTAAATTTGGTCGGACATATATACGTCACAAGATATATATTATATAAGTCACGAGACAAGTATGTATAGCCATTCCGGCTCAACGTTAAGTAAAATGCTAGAATGCCTCGTAAATTTTATTGCAAAATGCAAATTGAGTGAATTTGCAATCGGATTTTGTCACAACAAAAAAATGTATAATGTGACAATTTTTTTTGTGATCTGACCAATGTCCGATCAAAATTACTTTTGCTCGGACATTTGCCAAATTTAGTTGGACATTGTCAGATGTCCCACAGTAATTTGCAGCCCTGTCAAACTATAGTGTACTCCAACAAATAATTTTCACTGAAAGTTGTTATCATCGCCAGTACAAGAATATATACTAAAGCAACTGGACTGGTACTGTACTTTTTGACACACTTGTTTATTACAGTGTAAATACAGAGTGTGCATACAATAGGTTCTCCAGAGCACTTTCTTTGTCTAAGCAGATTCTGCATGAAAAATTCTGTCTAGTGATGATTATGCAAGTCAAGCAAGGCATCATATTCACCTGAGTACATTACACCAACACAGAAAAAAATCATGATTATTAGATTACATTGATATTGAAGGAACCAGATTCTGTTCCAAAATATCACATACTCGAACCGACCAGACCGCGTAGCTCAGTTGGCAGAGCATTGGGCTAGCATTCCAAAGGTCGTAGGTTCGATTTCCACCATGTTCAGGCATATTTTTCAAGCTTGCCCGGTGTGGATATACACTCAGAGTAACATCACAAGCATCATATTCACCTGAGTACATCATGCCATGAAATCAAAGATTGATAAACAACACTTTCCCATCATTTTTTGCTGCAGCAATCTGTAAGATTTAATTACCAGTATAAAATCTAAATCACCTTCGTATAACATGGCAGAAGCATAACAGTGCACCATAATTTACTGATGCATTAGGACTGGTAGATATTATACTCAGTTGTAGATGCATTGCAGTGTGGACTAAAATATGACATGAACAGCCACAATACATCGTGCTAAAAAAGATATGAAACATTTTACTTTGTCCATTGTCCGAGAAAAGCTGTTCGAACTTAAAGTTTTGGCCATGGGCAGCGAATGCTTCCCTGCACAGTGTGAAATTATTGTGCATCATCCCAAAAAAGATCCACACGCCCCCTACAGAGGAAATTTCTGTCGTCTTAAAGGCAAGGGGAGAAAATATTTGCTGACCTGATTTTTTGCTCGGCAGAAGCAATGTAACAACTTAAGTTCTAACTACATTAGGTAACGAAGCATTGGCTTTTCTGATAGTTTGTCTAATGCCATATTTATACACATTATTAGTGATTGACCAATAATCGCCATTTAACCATGATTTAACTAATTGTAAAATTTAATATGTAAGTGTAACTATTGTATATATTTTATCATCACGCCCCTCTTGGAAATCAGCAAATGCTGAAGGGGTTATAGCGTGTTTAAATAAAGTTTTATCTACATCTATCAGACCGACTTTTGCCTTATTGCATGGTAGGCAATCAGAATCGGTATTTTTTAGATCATTTGTGCATAATTTATATAAATCATACACTATCCCTCCCTAAAATAAGTCGCTTTTCTCTTAAGAAAGTAATGAACCTGTTTATGAACCTGTTTAGCCTAATTTTCTGGTAAGCACCATGTGGCTAACTTAGAAAATCTAGGTTTTATATGCTGACTTTTACTGTACACAAAAGGTCATTGCACGCAATTAATCGGTAATCTGTAATTTCTGGTTGTGGCACTATCAGTCAATTACTAACATTTACATAGTAACATAGATCTGCTGTTGACATGACAAATACATAGCTAACGTCTTTTAATGCTTTTCGTTTCTAGTGGACATTTGTGTTTTATCTTGCGGAAGCTAGAAGACATATACATCGCTGGTGTCGAGGGTTGGAACCGTGGCAGGTACTGAATTTAAATTGTGAAAGACAGGGTGTCCGCGGACCTTGAAAATCTTGGAACGTCCTTGAATTGGAAAAAGTTCCAGGACTGGAAAGTCCTTGAAAGTCAGCAGAAGTCCTTGAAGGTCCTGGAATTCATTTCCTTAACCTAAAGTTAAGCAAATCCGTGCCATTTTCAAAGATTTTTCCCAGTTTTAGGTCCTTGAATTTACTGAAAGATTGCCTTGAAAGTCCTGGAAAAGTCTTTGAATTTCACCTTCACCAGCGGGTGGACACCCTGGAAAGAAGTATACCACAGAAAAATGTTCAAGAGGGTTGTCCATCTCAAAACCATTCAACATTAAATTTAGTAATTCTTCAAAAAAACTTATCTTTAGTTTACCCATGAATCTTACACTCTTATTACCTTGGTATATACATATACAAGAATTTGCAATTTGGTCAGCGCGATGCACTGGAATCGTAGGTTCAATTCTTGCCAGGTGACCTGCCATTTTTTGCAACTGCTCCTGGTTATGTAGGCCTATCAAATACGACCTTACCACTGGAGCAGAAACAGGTCACCACGGTGATCTCTTGTTTTAGAACACAAACTTGTCGTAATGGTCGTAAAAATAGAGTCACGATCTTTCTCAACGGCCAGTTTATAAGTACCTATATATACTATTTACAACATGAGCGGCCGTGTTGTATCGGATATTGTATATCCGATACAACACGGACGCGAATGTTGTAAATGACTTAAAAAACGACTCATCTTATGAGTTCATTGGCGAAGTAATTTTAAAAATAAACGTTGTCTAAGCCGAGAAAATCAAAGTTAAAGTTTATGTAAATCAACATGAATCTGTATCACATATACAGATACGACACGCTTATGATTTTTCTTTGTGTTTTCTTCATGAATTATTAATGAGTTTTATAATAGTTTATACCTGTAAACCACATATAAATCATAAGTATTCGCAGTTTCTGTGTGGAAGCTCGCGTGAGAAGATCAGATAATGTAACTAGGAGCTGAACCATTTAGTGCTTTAGAAACTCGCAATAATATCTTAAAAAAGTAATTGTGCCGTATAGGATACAGGTAGCCAAGGTGAAAACTGCAGTTATATGATCATATTTACGAGTATAGGTAACAATACGTAACTACGTTAGGTAGATAAATATCCATGCAGGGGCCCCTGGCCAGCACATACTGTAGTTTGGTTATTTTAACAAGGACGTCGTGGTCAAAATAAAGACCCTGTCACATTATTGCATATCGTACTAGCATATACCAGCGTGTGAAAAATAACACTCACGTTGGTATACTCTGACATACGCTAGGGGTACGTTAGGCATATGTTGTATGTTACACCAGATATACGGTACTCATGCGCTGGCATTTCGAGGGATTTTTGTAATTTCATACACTTCTCATACGTTTCTCTCATACGGAATGCCAATAGTCTGACAGGGTCTTAAACCAGATCCCTCGAATATTAAAGGCATTGGCAATAAAAAATTGGTTTAGTTCATTTGAAAGAACTCTTCAAACTATACATTAAACTCTATTTCAAAATATTTCGACTGAAAAAAGTGAGCTGTTCGCCATCTTGGATTATTGAGGATATGCATGTTAGGCCACATAAAAAAAATAGTTGGTTAGCGTCCTTAGCTTTTGCCAAAAAGTGAGCGGGCGGGCGCTTTTTTTTTAAATTTTTACTAATTTTTAACGCCTTGGTTTTCCTCACTGTTAGGTCCGAAACTGGATTTTCTTGCGCAGTACAGATATTTTTTTATATATTTCAAAATATGATTCATACCGTCATTTTCGCCCGCAATTTCGCAAATTATTAACACAATTGACTACAGTCAACAGAAATACTACATACATTAGAGTCCGTTGATCAATAAAAGTTGTTTTTTTATAAATAAAAAATTAAAAAAAAATCCTGAGCTGGGCCTTTTTTGTGGGCGGGCGGGGACGCTAACCAACTATTTTTTTTTATGTGGCCTTACGTCAAGTATCACGCTAATTTTTTTCTTGAGAGTATTAGCGAACAATATGGGTCCAAAACTTTGTTTCTGGTTGCTGTCTGAAATTTAGAAATGATTAAAAACATGTCAAACAATTTTGGATTGTTTCTCGGTCATTCTGGAGTAGTTTTATATGATTAACCCAACTCCTGACGTCATCAAACCCATAGTTTAATGAGGTCAAGATTTAGTCCAAGATGGCGGACACAGGGTGTTAGCCAGGATTTCAAAAGTGGCCGTCCGAAATAATTTTGTGGGTGTGGTCACATGTTTTTGGGCGTGGCCGCAATTTTTTGTTGTTGTGGAATTGTGGTGTTCTATTCGTTGAACCTTTTTACTTTTAGTTTTAAATGCACATTTCCGTCATTAAATTAGTAAAAGCACACGTATGGTATGAACCGTTAGATCACTACGATGTACAGTATATGCTATAATGAAGAACACAATACAGCAGTGTAATGTTTAGTTATTTTTTATCAATCGCCGATATTTACTGTAACTCTAAAGCACATGGCGCTCGAGAGATAAAGGGATTGCTGTTTTTTAAAACAGCGCTTTCAAATTATTCTCCTTGATACTTCATGCGAGAATCATCAACATGGTTACAAAAACATGGCGGCTTTGTCGATACTTCAATTCAGCCATATTCAATGTGTTTTCGAAAAAGTATGAAAACATACACCATAAGTAAAGTAAACAGCAGATGACAACAATTCGAAGTATTCAAGAAATATTACAAAGCTTGTAAATTGCTATTCAAAGAAAATATTCCTTTAGGCCGTCCATGGCCGTCCATTAAAATTTAGCCGTCCGAATTCAGAAGTGGCCGTCCGCAGGACGGTCGGACGGCCGCCTGGCTAACACCCTGGGCGGACAGCTCATTAATTTCGGTGTAAATATTTCGGGAACTAAGCAAGATATGACAAATCGGTACTATAGAGTTTAATATATAAATTCAAGAATTTTTTTAAATGAGACCAACTAATTTTTTATTGCCAATGTTTTTTAAGCAGGAAATGTAATCAGAGTGTTTTATTTTATATTCATAGATTGTCGTAAACACCGTGTTTATCTGCCTTTGTGTCTGGGTTGGCGTAGAGATACTACGATGGTTATATTCCTGGATATTTTGTCAAGATGAAGGTAAGCTAGAGATTAAGTTGCTATCAATGTTTGAGTCTGCAAACGTGCGTACTGTATGATTAAGTCGATTATTTTATATCTGCGTCGAATTGCTTTGTTCATTTTGGCTGTTTGCGCATGCACAGAATGCCACCTTGTGACACAAATTGTACTAGCCCGACTTGAAAGTCCGGTAACGACACGACTCGCGCGCGCGGTTAATGCAACTGCTCAAGTCTGCCAAGCCGTCAACAAGTTTTGTTCGCACTGATTGTCCCAAGATGTCAACAAGTTTGGAACAAGCTGTTAACAACTTGTAATAACCTTGTTGATGTTATCGTACTTGTTGCAAGGTTGTTTCAACAAGTCCGGTACAATCATGATAGAACAATATTGTTGCAACCTTATGTTGCCAACCTTTTAACATTCTTGTTATAGCATGACTGTATCACACTTGTTAGAATAACTTTGCTACGAGTCTGATAATGCCATCAATCTTGTTCCAAACTTGTTACAACAACTGGGAACAAGCAGTGCGAACACAACTTGTTGACAGCTTGTGAACAGATTTGTGACAACTTGTTTGCAGATCTATAACAACTTGTGCGTTTTTACGTGTGTACTGTTAAACCGTGTTTACACTGCGAACCTAAGCCAGGCCTATAGGCCTAACTTCGGACTAGATTTTTGTAGCGATTTTCATTGGCCAAATATAATCGGTTGTAATTTGATATGTTAGACAATTGTTTTGTATTGTGCTGTATTGAAACTTTTTTAATTAAATACGGTAGAATCATGATCAGTACAAAATTACATTATATAAAAATTAACAATTTTTGCCGAAGGCGAGGTGATCACAAGCCTATATTCACTGAGCCGAAGGCGAATATTCATTTTTTGCAGTGAAATTCGTAAAAACATCGCAGAATAATCATTTTGACCCACCTGTACTAACTGTTGCGTATTATTTATATTAGGTTTTATAACAAGGATGAAAAAAGGTTTTTTCAAAACAGTTCGACGTCTCCCTTTCTTAAAAGAGAAGGTATTTTAATCATTGTATATTTGCTGATGCTATAGGTTCATAGGTTCATTTATTACCATATTTATTATCTCTGATTTGCCACACTACATTGAGTTTAGTGAGCACACATATAAATTATGTACATAGATATAAGTGGGGGGGGGGGGCATCCTAAAACCAAAGGCTTGTAGATCGGATGTCTCCTCGTGAAAATTTAAGGTAGCTAAGTGATAAATAGTTAGATTACAAGTTGATCTATTTTGTTATTGTTAAGGGTGAAGAGAAATCAGTGTTATATTTGTTCTTGTGTTATAATTGAATTAAAGAACTTTCTAATAAGAACTTATAAGCATTCTACTTCAGATTTTGGGACCTTTCATGGAAAGGAATTGCAAACTGTTTAGTATTTGTTTTACATGCATGGGATTGATATGAACTTGAATTTCTAGTATTGTAGCTCTGTACAAATCATAATTCCCCTGTTGAAAACCCCCTTAACCCATTGAGTACTCTCCCTTTGACGAGTAAAATAGTCTGGCATTAGACAGAGTAAAATATTTAGGTGGGGTGATAATGAGGGCAGAATTTACGTGTGTTCGCACGACGCCGTTACAGGTATTTAGAAATTAAATTAGCACTCATGCAAACCCAAAATATTTCAAATAGTCAATAGAGCAAAGAAATTTAAACAAAAAGCATTCCAATTTACGCACTGTTTTGATACCTGAGATGCTTGGTTTGCAAGCGGTACAAAAAATGTAACGGCGTTTGTGTTTACACGAAGCCTATCTTGATCATTTTCCAATTTGTCAGGAGGCAAATGGTGTCTCCAAAAAAAGTGCATATGCAGACAACATGAAACTTTAAACTGCAGACAATTGCACAAGCAGTTATCAAAACTCATCTTACAGAGTGGTAAAGGATATGTGTGACAACAGCATAGTATCCTTTTGTAACGTTTTTGACCAGGGTGGGTATTTATTTTTTAATTGATATTTGAGATTTGTTCACTTTTTATTGGTTGGATGAGCAAAATTTTCACCAAGGAAAATATTTTCTCTTCGGCATGCCACCCCCCGTCATAAATATTAAGCGCTTCCTAAGTAAGATGTGAGTATGTTGTTCAATTTCGTAAAAACATTCTATACTGTTTGTCAGATAAATGCAGAATTGCAAAAGGCGAAAGATGATATGAATAAAGCCTGGATAAGCAAGAACAATGAACACTATCATACCAAGGTAATGTAAATTATCATACTAAAACGTATCGAAAAAATATACAAACCACTGTGGCCAAAATATTGTTTGTTTTCAGTGTCATGCAGCTTTGTGGGCCAAACGATTAGCGATTTTTTTACATCTGGCTCGATTGAACTGATGCGGAAGGATTTTGTAAATGGAAATTTCAAGTATAGATTTTAAGCGTTTATTAAGACCTAACCAGAATAACGTAATCTTTTACAGACAATTTTCTGCCCTAAACCCAGATCCCCAGAAAGATAGAAACATTTTCCACCTCTGCAGGCCTATAGTTGCATTTTTCGCAGCTACTCCTTGTTAGGTATAAAATAAATTACACTCGAAATTTTCATCCATAAAATCCTTTAACACTAGTTCAATCGGTCGAGATGCCACAAAATCTTGATATTTACCCATAACCTACACATGGCAGCACCCTGGTATATATACAAGAGCTTGTTGTTAAAGCTCGACAACTGGCTTCTGTAGCTCAGTTGGTTAGAGCGCTGCACCGGAATCACAAGGTCGCCGGTTCGATTCCTACCAGAAGGTCCACAGTTGGATTTTTCGCAACAGCTCCTGTAGATTTGCTTCCTCGCAAAAAATGTACGTAATGGAACGCAGGTTTAAGAGATTATGTATCATTCGTTCAGCTTCCAGATAAGGGGATGGGCCAACAAGCACTTATGAAGGAAATCGATAAATATGAAAAACTAGGTAAGCTATTATTCAGTTGAATCTCTCTAATACAGACGCTCTTCAATGCGAACACATCTCTAATACAGACACCTCTCTAATACAGACACCTCTATAATACAGACACCTCTCTAATACAGACACCTCTATAATTTAGACACCTCTATAATATAGACACCTCTTTAATACAGACACCTCTCTAATACAGACACCTCTCTAATACAGACACCTCTCTAATACAGACACCTCTCTAATACAGACACCTCAATAATATAGACACCTCTATAATACAGACACCTCTATAATATAGACACCTCTCTAATACAGACCCCTCTGTAATACAGACACCTCTCTAATACAGACACCTCTCTAATACAGACACCTCAATAATATAGACACATCTATAATACAGATACCTCTATAATATAGACACCTCTCTAATACAGACACCTCTATAATACAGACACCTCTATAATATAGACACCTCTCTAATATAGACACCTCTCTAATATAGACACCTCTATAATACAGACACCTCTATAATATAGAGACCTCTATAATACAGACACCTCTCTAATACAGACACCTCTCTAATATAGACACCTCTCTAATACAGACACCTCTATAATACAGACACCTCTATAATATAGACACCTCTCTAATACAGACACCTCTATAATATAGACACCTCTCTAATACAGACACCTCTATAATATAGACACCTCTCTAATACAGACACCTCTATAATACAGACACCTCTCTAATACAGACACCTCTATAATATAGACACCTCTCTAATACAGACACCTCTATAATATAGACACCTCTACAATATAGACACCTCTCTAATACAGACACCTCTGTAATACAGACACCTCTCTAATACAGACACCTCTATAATACAGACACCTCTATAATATAGACACATCTCTAATGCAGACACCTCTATAATAGAGACACCTCTATAATATAGACACCTCTATAATATAGCCACCTCTCTAATACAGACACCTCTATAATATAGACACCTCTTTAATACAGACTCCCCTATAATATAGACACCTCTCTAATACAGACACCTCTATAATATAGACACCTCCCTAATACAGACACCTTTATAATATAGACACCTCTATAATATAGACACCTCTCTAATACAGACACCTCTATAATATAGACACCTCTATAATATAGACACCCCTCTAATACAGACACCTCTATAATATAGACACCTCTCTAATACAGACACCTCTCTAATACAGACACCTCTCTATTAGTCTCTAATACAGATACCTCTCTAATACAGACATCTCTAATCCATAAGCCTCTCTAATACATACGCCTCTCTAATACAGACATCTCTCTAATACAGACATCCCTAATAGAGACATCTCTCTAATAAATGCATCTCTCTAATACATACATCTCCCTAATACAGGAACCTCTCTAATCCAAACACTTCTCTAATACAGGCACCTCTCTAATAGAGTCACCTCTCTAATCCGAATGCTTAACTACTAAATTGTGTTTTGATATACGGAATCGTAATGTAATTGTATAAACCTCAGTTTACTGAAGGCAGTTACAGACAAGCAAGTTTTCTATAAGACTTTTTCGTGTGGCATGTTTTATTTGCTAACTGTATGTGTTACTTACAACAATAGATCGCTGACCAACCGCACGCAAGTGCTCAATCTTCTTTGCTGACGCATATATAAGCGAGCAAAATATTAAACGTTTGCCAATTCTTTCTATGACATGTGCACTGTCTTGTTCGAAAGCTAGCATACTAACTTATGAACGGATGTAGGCCTACTTATTGTGATAGAAAAACCTGGCAGAGTTGCCAAATAGGTACAGATACGAGCAAAAAACCTCGGCAAATGAAAACTCCAGTGCATAAAAACATTTGACTCAACACCGGGAGCAAAATAATGCACGATGCACAGTGACTCAAAATATTGAATAATATTACTCAAATTTATGAGCAAATTTACTCATTTAATTGAGAAAAGTGTATCTTTGTTGCAAAAATTGAGTAAATTTGTGGGGATTTTTAGTAGTGTTGTCATAGAAAAATAGCTCGTGTGTAACCGACGTAATTTGTCGTTCCAGGTAAAATTGACTGGGCCGCTGGAAAAGTATCTGGGACAGTTTATCACGGCGGAAAGGAACTCACTGATGTTTTGACAGAGGTCCGTTATGGCCCATTTTCACTCATGATAATTTTTAAAAAAAGGGAAAATTTTATAAAATGTGATTGGCCAACACAAATTTTGTGTCGCAATAAAATTTCACGTTGAAAATTTTCAACTTTTAACAATAAAATTCCGGAAAATTTTCTGGCCGTGGAAATTTTTCTTGAGTGGAAATGGGGCAGTTTATATTGGACAGTTCTTTTCTGATTCGACACATCATATCAGCCAACAACAAATGAAAATATAAACAAGCAAAGAAATAAGCCAGTAATTAATAATGTCCAATGTCACTCACTAGGAGGGGGTAGTTGCCCCCAGGTATAGTGTACTTGTATATTTGGCACAGAACAATTACGTCCGACGTCTAACTTAGTTGCCGAACTTGTGCTGTATACAGTATACCCCATATTGTCACTCAACCTACAGTAGCAGACTTCAATCTATTTATAGGGAGGCATTGCAGAAAAAAAATCTTCCGTCATTATATAATCGAAGACAATCAATGGAAAATTAGTTATTTGATAAACTCGTTAAGAATAGTGATCATAAATTACATTAGCTGTTACCACCCTTAAATCCTTAAATCATACGTTGTCCCAAAGTTTCACCCACCATTATGTAAAACGAACAGATTCAATAACACTTTTATTATGAAAAATTCTTATAAATATGCTGTATTTTTTACCCTCCTGCTTTAAAAATAAATGCGTATGATATGTATTTTGCAGTAAATCTTAGCCAAGTCATTCTTGTTGTTTTCTAGGCTTATAAACGATTCACATGGTCAAATCCACTTCACCCGGATGTTTTCCCAGGAGGTGAGCATTCAAGATGAATATCACATATACACTGTCTGCTCTCGATGCAAATAGTTAGTTTTGTTTTCCCAAGAGTCTCAATGTTTCCCGAGACGGAGTCGATTGTACTGTCAATTTGTGTTCACACGAGAAACGAGACAACCCGGCTTGGTGAGATCTCATCTTGCGCTAGGTGGCATCTCAGTCTAGTGGGATAAAATTTTCCATATGAAGACTTTATCCTACCTGACCGGGATGGACATTTTGGCCGATTTTGAGCTATAATATAGCATTGAACGTCGTAGTTGGAAAATAGAAACAAAATATAAACATCAATAGTCCTAAACAGATATTATTAAAGTCGTAATACAAGATGCAGTTTGTTTAATTACAACAAAAATATTTCGAAGACCGCCATGTTTACATAATGTCGTCCCACCCAGGCTGGATGGTAATTGAGAGGTTATAAGATTGACGTTTACGGCAGACTGGTAAGGCCACATAAAATAAATTCCTTGATTCTCATCACCGCCCGACTGTATTTTGAGAGCCGCGTGAAATTTTTTTATATTTCGTTATACAATATAAATGTACCGCCAGACAAAATATTCCAAGACAGTTAAGTTTTTTATATTTTATATTGGGGTTTTAGTGCCATTTTAGACTGCCAATTTCAAACAAATAGAACCTTGAAAGAAATTTCATTGCATTTTAACGGAACTTCGCATTCAGTTCAAGGGTGCAGTCATTGTTCGTGGAGAAATATGTTTATTTCAGTTTGTGACATTTTTATTTATTGATATATAAATTATATAAATATAAAATATAAACCTCCCGCCTCTTCGACATTTTCAAAGTGTAGTGATGAGAATCAAGGAATTTATTTTATGTGGCCTAACCGCAAGCGAGAAACTTCAATTCGTATTTGAAGGTAAGTTCTACAAGTTTCCGAAGGTTTCGACAGGTTTTTAGTCAATTCATTCTTCAATTTTAATGCACAAATTGTCCTATGACTTCCAACAGTTTACAGTTGATCTCAAAATACGACTTGAAGTTCTAGCGGCTACCGGTCTGCCGTAAACGTCAATCTTAACCTCTCTAATGCCTAAAAGGGATGGACGAGAAGGTTCCAAAATTGAAATGAGAGTTTGCGTTAGTATTAGCGTGAGTGTGGGGGTTAGGGTTAGGTGTGGGTGAGAGTAAGGTTTAGTGTTGTTACAAATGATCTTAAAAACTGGCGGCCATCTTGAAAACCTGCCTCTAGTCCATCCCCCATTAGCCACGACCGAGGGTGGATATTATACTGTAGGTGGGATAAAAAGACTGATATATGAACACAGAAATAATTTATCACACTCACGCGAGCTTCCCCGCAAACCCCGGGCTCATATGAACAGGCCAGGTCCCAAAAGGGTTAAAATAACCAGGAAATTTGACCAGGGATATTAATTTTACCCAAATAGAATAAGTTCTAGGCTAGTTAGGAAACTTTTAACCTTAGTGTTATGCCCAAAATCTTGAAATAAAGGATCACCTTTCAGAATGAAATGCGCAAAGTCGTAATCTTTTCTTTCAGTTCGTAAAATGGAGGCTGAAATTGTTCAAATGTGTGTGGGGATGTTTAATGGAGGACCCGACGCCTGTGGGACGGTAAGTGGTGTTTAAATTTGTGTACCCAATGTCCGGCCGCGCCAGAAACACCACTATCGGGAATTTTTGAACAGAATATCTTCTTTACATCTTGAAGGAAATGTTGTCATCTCATACTGCAATGCCATGTATAATTTAGGTATTATTTACAAAAGTGTTTTTGCATGTGGAGATTGCGTTATAAAGTACGTTTGTGGTTATAAAGTGTGTGGTTATAAAGTACGCTTTCTTTGGGCATACCTTATGGATACGGTTTTGTAGCTAGCTATAATGTACGCCTGTTTTCGGCACACCTTATAACCACGGCTTGTGGCTATAAAGTGCGCGTTAACTTCGAATTAAGAATAATGTTAAGGTTTTATGAGCTGATAGCTTGATTAGAAATTCCGTCAGAAGAAAACTGGAATTAGCTGGGGGGAATGGAATTAAAACTGTTTACAACATTCATAGATATTGGACGTCAGTTTCCGCATTCTTGGTTTAACTTTTCTCATAGACCAAATGACTGAAATTCTCGCTCCAGATGTATATAGAGCTCACGGCTATGACTAAAGCTCCCTTCCCCTCCCCTGTCAACATACACTTTTATCTTACCCACAGTGTGTTTTTCCTCCAGACGACAAGTGGTGGGACTGAAAGTCTTCTATTGGCTTGTAAAACGTATCGAGATTGGGCGAAAGAAGAAAAAGGCATTGTAAAACCTGAAATGTAAGAATGTCGTAAAGAAAATACAGTTACTTGCCAAAAGTTTGAAAACAAGCTAAAAAATTTGAATATTTTGCAAAATCCATTACAGATGTTACATGTTCAAATATGCATTCGGTTTAATAACTGGTTAGCATGATTTCATTTCAGCTATTTTAACCTACGGTAATATTTAAAAAATGTTGACCATGCTGTCCTATTCCTTTCCGTAACATGAGGAACCAGAATCGTGAGAACCATTGAGGTGCCAGCAAAAAGGTTTAAACTCAACCCAATAGAGAATTTATGGATGGTTCACAAGAAAAGAGTAAGCAAAGGAATTACCAACGACATTTGCTGAACTAGAGATTATTGTTTGGAAAACTTGGGAATAAATTCCTAGAAAAATGTTGTCAAGATCTTGGTTTAATCCGTTGCTAAATGGGCAAAGAATGTCCGGAAAGCACAAGGATATTTGCAACTACATACTGACAGTTACCCCGAAGGCCCAACATATTCTTAATATTATCCAGTACATTTTCCTTAAAATATCTTAAATGAAATCCTGCTAACCAGTTATTAAACTAAATGCATAGTTAAACATGTAACAACTTATTGAGTGAGTCGGTAACGGAATTGTGCAAAATATTTAACTGTTTTGACTTTTGAAGATATTCAAACTTTTGGCAAGTAACTGTATACCCATGTTTACGGAACGTATTCTTGAACACTTTTGCCTGTTTTAGGGTTGCAAATTCTAAAGCTGACATAACACAAAACCGAACGCTTTGAGACCCTCGTGGCATTCGGCTACTGAATTGCATTGAATTAATGGTTATTCACAAATGTATTATTTTTGTTAGTGTCGCTCCAATCTCGGTTCATGCTGCTTTTGAGAAAGTAAGTAAAACATAAAAATATTCGAGACTTTGGCCATCTGCTCGATAGAGCTAAATGATGAAGGATTTTTGTTGACGGAAATGTCAAATGAAGATTGAAGAACATTAGAGCGCTGCACTGGTAACAGGGGCGGACATACCCCCCCCCCCCCTAGTGGTGTCCAGCACCCCTTTGAAGGAAACTCTTTCTATTCCATATTTGAGTTGTGAATACCACTTATTATATTAAAACGACTGATTTTCGAATACGCGAGAAAATATTCGAGCACCAATACGGCGGATCACCATATAACGTAGCAGTGGTAGCACTTCTCTTCATTTTTCCCCGAAATACAAGTACTGTGAGGATAAATTTAACGAATGAACGTAGTGCTCAGAATGCAAGAAATTGGTATTTCGGGGCTTGAAATTTCAAGCATGTTCTGGGGGAGAATGCCCCCAGACCCCCGTAGTAATGCACAGGGGCGGATCAATGCTGATCTGACAGGAGAGGTGCAGATTTCCCTGGGG